CTGCTGAACTGGTTAGTTATATTAGCGGTTGCCAGGGACCAAAATCAATATTAAGAGCGCCACATGTCTTGTAACTGTCCGCCGTATCAGACAGCAGTGCCGGAGCCAGAGTGCCCATTCAAATGATTTGTAAACCAGGAATTACTTTAAAAGCGGTGTGCTTCACTGCCAGTGATACCTGTTGTGATTTGTCCATGGGAGAGGGAACGGCAGGCTCATTGTAATGACTTTTTGGAGTGACTTTATTTCTCACGGTCTTGTAATCGTTTGCCTGTATGGGCTGTGATACCCGTAACTAGAGGTCTCGCCCTTGGTCCAGCCTTCTCAGCTGAATGCAGCTGTTTTCGTGCGCAAGGAATAGCGGCAAATCAGAAGAGTGCTGCAGGAATATGGGATTTGATCGTTCAGTGCACTTCTCCAAACCCAGATTAACCTCGTAGCTATTTCTCATTCGTATAAAGGTTATTCAGGAAGTCTGTGGTAAAGCTAGAAATAGGTGCTAATCTGAGACGTTGTAAGCATTTTATGTTGATGTGTCTTTGCACAGATGGATCCAGATCTGTGTGCCTAGATAAGCCAAACACTAAGTTGGTCTATAGTTATTTTTAATATAGTTTTATAAACATTTAAGCATGCATTTCAGATGCTACAGATGTATAGGCAATATTTTTCTGTCCTGCCTAAACTTTGGATTTCAAGAGAAAGCACAGAAGCTTTTACATTGTTTAAGTGGTGTTTAATTAGAAAAGCTGTTACTGCCTGAATTTTCAATTGACTAGCAAGCTTAAAGTGTTATGTTTTCTTAGCTGTGTGATTGTACTATACCCTCTGTCTTTTACTTTGCTTGCATTTGAAAAAAAAAAAAATGTGGAATTAAATGGTATCCCTTTAATTACTGATGAGCTGCTTGGTGGGTTTTTTGTGGGCTAGTCAGTGAATCAGGCTTTTCCTGCTTTGACAATATATGATAATTAAACCAAATGCAAACAGTAATTCAGTATCCTGCTTCATTTTTTCTCCACCAACTCTGTGTGTGTACATATAGATGTGTGTGCGTGTGTGTGTGTGTTATGTATGTGTATGTGTGTGTGTGTATATTTAGTAAGAGGGCTATTTATGCAGAAATGTCATAATTCCCCTAGTTTGGTTTTCTGCGCTGCAGATGTGATTATACAAGCAGGTTTTATTTTTTAAATAGACCACATGCTGCTACTTAAACATAGGTACTAGTTATAAATGAAATTTGATTTAGTTGAATAACCTCAAGTAACTTAAAGGGGCTTATTACTTCCCAGTAAGAACCTGCCAGTTACTGAGACCTTTCATTCTGTCAGTAAATCTCACAACCTGGGTTGAATTACTTTAAGCTAGAGCAGGGAGCGCCGCTGCTCAGATTAAAATTGTTTGATCTTCGTAAAGTACCTGGTCACTTCCTTGGGTGGTTGTTTTTTGATTAGGCTACAAAGTGTTATTTGAAAGATGTTACAGCAGTGATGTTTTGAAAGGATAACTCGGGCCTCAGCACCAAAGGCCTGATTCTGTTTTCACCGTGTGGGTTGCAGCACAGCAGAGTCAGGAACGCTTTAGGTGGACAATCGATCGGAGCGCTCTTAGGTCACCTCAGTGCCAACTAAAATGAATTGCACTGTGGTTAGGGAGCTGGTTGCAAGTGCTTCTCTGGCCTCTCACTTCTTACAGCAGAGGTGTCCAAACTGCTGCAATTTCTTCCTCCTTGTGTCATCAAGCATTTCTTTCCACAGCACTCTCCCTCTCCCCCCCCCCCCCCCCCCCCCCCGCCTCAGCCAAACCAGTCCTTTTTTGGACCTTCTCGTTTTGGATATGGTCTCTTCAGCCAGCTGAACAACTTTGATGCATTTAATTTAGGTTCTGCTGTTCTTCATGCATTTTCTTTCTTGGTGCTTCATATCTCCACCAGCTACTGCAAAATAAAAACTATGAACTTCTTGGAGCAGTTGGTATTTCCTGATAGCCCAAGAAAATTACTTCCCCTCCTCCTGTCATCTCCCTACAGCTTTTAGGCTCTCTGTGCTATTTTGGCCATTCTCTTCTCCAAGATACTGATGTTCCATGTGCTTCAGCTTTCTAAGCAGTGCGACCTGTGTTGCTTTCTGCTTTAGTTCTGTTCCCTCCCTGAAGGTTGCGGTCTTGACCATGCAGGTTCATGTAGAAGTCGGAGCCATTAATTCCTCTGTAGATAAAGCACCCTGATACCTTGGCGTTTCATGATCAGTGTCCAGTTGTTGTACTTTTGATCCAGTTGCTTAGCTCACTTTCGACCTTTCCTCTTTGCTATCCCCGCTGGAAAATATTTACATACCTTTCTGTGCATGACGTGACTTCAGAGCAGTCTGCAGCCTGCCGTGCCGTTCTAATGTCTTTCTGAAGCTGACAAAGCACTCTAAGATTTTCCTCTCGACCTTAGTGCATTAGTCCAAAATGAGGCTTAGCACAGAGTTCACTGCATCAGCCGTGTATCTTTGTAGAAGTTAGTCTACACCTCACTGTCCTTTGACTCTCAGGAGGAAAAGGATTTGTCCAGACAGATGGTTGACGAGATTGCTCTGTGCCTTGTGCAGTTCTGCAGGTAACCTTTTTTTGGGTATCACAATCAAGGCTCATTTCCTAATTTTTCCATAAGATACTGCCTCCAGCTCTGATTGTCCCTGCTAGTATGCGATCTGTTCCTGACTGCTGTTCTCCTGCAGCTTCTTCTAGCTGGGTGTCATTCAGCTAAGCTAAGAATATTTGGTTTAGAAAATCATTGCTTTTTTTTTTTTTTCCTCCTTGATCCATTATTTATGCAAAAGTCCTGTCAGTACTCAACCCACCCCATCATACCCATATTCCTTTTAAGGACACAAAGCTATCCTTGCCTTCAGTGGTGCAGACTTTAGGTTGGTATTTCCAGCTGATAACACCAGGTGTTTCAAATGCTTAATTCCACAGGGATTCCTTCAGGCACTTCCGCCATGCCATAGGACTGCTCTTTGAGCCAGCTTTGCCTATCTGTCTTCTCCAATCTCTTGGTTTTCCGTGTAAAGGATATGCTGCAATATTCAGAGCCTGTTTAGTGCCCACTATGTTCCCTCGTACATCTGAGGTGGTTCACTGAGCAGGCAGTAAGCGAGGTTTAGAGTAAGGCCAGTTTTAAGTTCCACATCCTGAAAGTCCTGGCAGATACTGTTAATCCTTATCCCATATTTTCAGAGCCTTCAGGTTGTGCCTTTGCATCTCGCCCTTCTCACAAGTTAATTCAAACGGTGCTTGGCAGCTGCTGAAGATAAAACAAGACTGTGACCTGACAGGCCACCTCATCTGGGCAATCTCTGCCACTCACAGCAGAGTGAGTGCATCTTATTTCTCAGGGCATCTTTAAAGCCCATTCTCCCCTCCCCCCCGGCCCCTTTTCTTTAATCAGGCCTGCGTTTGAACCTTTGATTTCAGTGACTGAACCTGAGGGCCAGAGTTGCAGTGCCTGGTTAGAATTTAGACGATTCATGGTCCATAAAACTGACGGATGTGGATGAAGCATGGTAGGAGTTGATGAAGCCGGTAGCTCGACAGAGGGAAACTGCTGTGTTACCATATCCTCAGGTCCAGCCAGTGGCAGAGCTGAGCCTGCCCATTAGGCACACGTACACGCAATGCGTGTGTACACAGCCAGTCACACAGATCGACATAGTCAGAAAACACAGCACTCGTGCAAACACCAACAGCAGAAGGGCCTCATGCTGTTCCCCTGCTTCTGGCTGACCAGGATGAAAGCCAGTTAGTGCAAAATATTTCTTTATATACAGTATGCATCCCTCCAGTAGCTGGGATTAGACACTCAGTCTATCAGTTAGCTGGCCCTGGCATCCCCAGGTGTCCCCAGTTGCTGGCACTGGGATGTGTGAAACACGAAGATCAGCAGCACCACTCTGGTTGCTGGTACTGAGGCCTCCTCCCACACAGATGAACACAGGAGGAGTCACACACACAGATGCACGCAGTATGAGACGCTTCAGTAACTGACTTTAGACTCTCAGATTATCCAGTATCTGGTCCCTGCATCCTCTAGTTTCCTGGCTACCTTGTGCACGCACGCACACACGCGCATGCAAACAGATCTCTCTAGCAGCTGGTCCAAACCTAGGCTCCACCAGTAGTTGGCCTGCAGATCCTGTCGTCTCTCTGGTAGTTGGTTGGGACCTTGTGGTCCTTCCAGGTGAACTGGAAAGCCTTTTCCATTGACTAGCAGGAGGATGTCACACCCAGGCTATGGGCTGGTCCTTCTGGTGTGACAGTGCTGGGAACAGCCAAGTCGGGGTGCTCGCTGGCACCAGGTGGGTTACTGGGGTGGTTCCACCTTCATTGTTCCTCTGCTTCTTTGCCTTTTGGAGATAAGCTTTTAATCACACAATCAAACAAAGAAGAATCAGATTCTGTGACCGTGATGAGAAGCCTTTAGACAGTGCTCCAAAAAGATTTAATAATCGCAATAACATCAAGGTAGCAACACTAGATGGAAGGATGCTTTTGCCAAATTTGCTACAGGACTGAAATCAAATGAGGCAACCTAGTACTATCCTTTAAAGTTTCCATAGTTTCTATGCTCGCAATAATAAATGTTGATTTGATACAGATTTATGCTAGCACAGGCATTTTCTTATATATGACAATTCAACCTTTGAGTAACGTTTCTCAGTGAAAGTGTTGATGACTAGCACAAAAATTTGACTTCTGCTTGATTTAAAGGGCAATTTATTGTGATATTAAAAATGTGAAGTGCTGGAACATTCTAACTTGAGAATCTATTTAGAAACTTAATATTTTCAAAATGTTCTGCTTTTTAAAATCTTGCACATTAGTTACTGCTAAGGATTATTTGTAAATCAGTAAACATACTTCTTGTTATGGAATATGCTAAAGGAGCGAGGGGAAGAGAAGCCATGGCTGAGTGTTTTAGCAAATCCCACAACCGCGTTTTTGAAGAGGCAGAAATATACTCTTCTGAGGGTTTTTTTTTTTTTAGGCTCTTTCTATGGCAGCTCTTCAAGAACAGATAGCGGTGATCCCAGTGATAATAGAGACAGTCAGAGAATGTTTGCTCTTGTCATAATGAGCTATAAATCAACTGTGGGAATTTAAAAGCTTTGTAAAAGCGACTGCTCTGTGCCACAGAAATAACATTCTGCAGAGCTGCAACAGGGGCCTCGGCTCGCTCCTTCTAGTTGTACCACATCTGAATTGACGCCGAGGAAACTCCCACTGGCTTAACGGGACATAGGGAGAATATAGGTTACATCCTGGTAAGTCCCTAGCTGAACACCCACTTGGCAATGAAGTTCAGCTGTGCTTCTGGCTGAGGCATTTACTCTGTATCATGGGCCAGACTTTCAGAACTCTTTTTTTGTTTTGTTTTTTTCTTCAATTTACATCTAAAGCAGAATTTTAAAACAGAAATAAACAGCTATCTTTATTTGCATTTGGAGATCTGATTTATCTCTTGTTGATGTTGATGGGAATTTTCCCATGGACTTTTAATGTGAGTTAACTGGAGTTCAAAAATAAACATTTTTTAAAAATCATATTTTGTTTTGTAGAATAAACAAAAGCCTCAGCCGAAGTCAGTGGAAACAAAGTTAATTCCATGCTGAATGCTTTAGAAATTTCGAAACTTGATGTTCAGTATTAAATCATTCAATAATAGAGGTTTTTTTCCCTTTCCCCCAAAACATTTGGATTTATGTAATGCAACACTGAGAAAAAAATACCTCATTATAATCATGTACCTCTTGTCTCAGGCTCAAGAAGAGAACGTTGTGGGTATCGGATCCTGCGCCGCCATCGTAATTCAGAAGATCAAGTGCACTGCGTTGGCAAAGCTAAGAAATACAGCGAGACGGCAACCCGCGTAAAAGAGATCCTCCTTAGCACGGTCAGTCCAGAGCAGTTTGTTTTAACTCTACTTGAAGCTGAGCCTCCCAACGTGTTGGTGAGTCGTCCCAGCAAACCGTTCACAGAGGCCTCCATGATGATGTCCCTGACAAAACTGGCAGATAAAGAGCTGGTTCATATGATTGGTTGGGCCAAAAAAATTCCTGGAAACAGTTTTAATCCTTTTTTTTTTTTTTTTTTTTTTAAATACTGTTCAGCACTGTTACCCTTAGCATACTGTTCTCTACCCTGAAATAATAGCATAGCACGGTAAATGCATATTATGAAAATCTTAAGCTTTTTATTCTAAAAACGTAATGGACAATATGTTTTGCTCTCAATAATGCATCTGAAAGCATTTAGACAATGACCTTGCCCATAATTTGTTACCTGCTATGTTAGTCAAATAGTTGCTCATTTTGCTAAAAAGCATACTTGCTGTTGCATGCCATTTTCACCTTATTGACTATAAACGCTTGATTAATATGATTATAGAAATTGCAGGAAAAAGGATGCTAACCAGATTGTTATAAAAATGTCTTCAGGCTAAGTTCTTTCCTTGGACCCTGGTGAAAGGTTTCTATTACAGCTGATGAAAACTGAAGAGTATCCAAGCACTGAGTCTCTGTAATTGCTTCAGCTGACATAGTTGCTACACAAGTGCATGAAATTGCTACGTGGGGAATAGTATCCATCTTAGAATTTATGCTGTGCTCTCCCTCAAAACAGAAATCAATAGGGATGCTTTCGGTTGTTGGCAACACAAAGAACGTGCACTAAAGTACAACTACACGTGTTACAACCTGGAACGTCTTGATGCGACTGCAGTGTCGTGGCAAGGGACCATTTCCCTCCTTACAATCAAGAAGCAGTTGGTCAATATTTGCAACAAAGGGCCCACAGTTAAAGCAGCCAGAATAAAGAATAAAAGCTAGAATAAAAGCAGCCAGTGCCTAGGGAAGGTAATTGGCAAACTGTGCAGAAAAAACTTTAGCGAGAGCTAAGGTGACCAACTATATAATAGAGAGCTAAAAGAAGCATCAAACAATTGACAGAGATATAGCAGCAAGAGGCTCAATCCTTAGCTTCAGAAATAGTGCTTTGCTAGAAGTGATCCCTCTGCCAGTGCGTACCCTGCACGGCTGATGTGTTCTGCAGCGTGCCCAGTAGTCCCAGCCCCACGTCCATCCAGACGGAGAAGCCAGCACACGATGGCTCCTCTCTTGGATCTTCTGCTGAAGGCGGCCAGAGCGGGCTGGTGGAGTGGCGTACGCCCAGGCCTCGTCACGGTGTAGGCGATTGTGCGCGCTGGAGGACGCTCGCTACTGCTTACATACACACCCAGGAAGGCATGCCGTTAATCCTTACATCCGGTGATGAATTGAGTGTGTACTCAGTACAGGAGACAGGCTTGGGGGAGAATATATCTTTAAACTAAGAGTTTAGGGCAAGGGAAGCATATCCTCTTTCAGGCCTAGGTGGAGCGGCTGGAGATGTTGCCAACTCCAGCTGTTGGGCACCGTCTCCTAGTTCCAGGTTACAATCTCCGCCGCTCGGCCGCCCTCTCAGAGGGCTCAGGCGCGGTGGCTTGACTGCGATGCCGGGTGCTTGCAAATTCCAGTTCAGCCACTGCATTGCTGGGGAGAAGACGCTTGCACAGCATGAGCATCTGAAACCGTATTAGCCATTTGCAAAGGGACACTGGATTTTTTGCCATTAGTGTGGAATTTTTTAAGGTGAATGCCCAAATCCTTAAACCTTATTTTTCCTGGTTTAAGAAACCCCGAAAATGAAAACAGTCAGAAAGGACTAAGTGGTGTTTATTACTGTATTTTCTTGTTCGATCAGAAAAACTTGACTGAAAGGTACCGTTTCCGAGGACTCTCTACCGTTCTGTTAATCTGATAGGAAGTGAATTGTGGGGGAAAAAAACAGGAAAAACAGTCTTAGGAAGCTACCTCATTTTAACAGATTTTGACTGGAAAAAAATGACTCTTTGTTTTTGAGGTGGTTATTTCTGTTTTCATTTTTGAGGTGGTTATTTCTGTTTTCTTGAACTATGTCAGTTTCTTAAAATATAAAGACTCAGACAAATCAAAATAATTTTTATGAAATTTAAAGAAAATGTGTTAGTTTTCTATCAGATTCCAAACAAACCCAGATTTTGACATTGCTCTCTCTTAGTTTCTTTTCGACATGTGTCAGACATCAGAACTTTCTCTTGGCAGTAATTGAATTGCATGAAGAAAACCCGTTAAAGCTCTCAAACCATGCCAGCAGTTCTGAGGAATGCAGACACTTTATCATGTATGTTTGTTTTTTTCTGATCGCTTGTGTTACGTAGAAAAGAAATAAACACAATTTCAGAACAATGCCAAAAACAGATGTGGCGTTTAACATTTCCCCAATTATAATTAATATTGCCATATAACATGGCAGTTAGAACATTTACTTGAATGCAGATTTTTTTTTTCTTTAAAACATACCGTGATGACTAAAGCTCAGGACAAAGAATGTCACGATTTTCAAAAATTCCTGCCTAACTTTAATCATCTAGACCCATGTTCCAGTTCCTGGAGGTAGTCTTAGAAAAAAATTACATAGTTCTCCACCAATGGCCCAGTAAGCAGTAATTTTACTTTCTGTAAAGTTGGATATTTGCTTGTGTAGCTGGATAAGAAACCCATTTTCACTTTCAATTTATTATTGGATATTATTTTGATGGTTATCAAATGTGAAAGAAAATCTCATTATTTTTCCCTAAATTACATATGCTGATGTCAGCACTGATGTTTTCCCTAAAAGGGAAAGATAAACATTTACCTTTAATCATTTTTTCCTTATTCTTTTATATTTTATGACCTTCTTTTGTTTTGAGTCTTACTCTGTGGCTGTATCTTTGACTGCGCGCTCAGCTCCAGGGACTGTATTTTTGTCGTAGTTCAGCAAAACAGAAGTTGACACCTAGATTTTTTTCTCCTCAACTCCAAGTCTTTTAATCCTAAATTATCAGAAGGCAGGATGTAACTTCTGGGATTGCCTGTTACTTCGTTGACCTTGTCTAAGAGAGTTGAACACGGTTCATAGCTGCAACCATATTGCTAATCGATAGGATGTGGTCATAATATTGAAGTTTGGATCCGTTATGCAAGTTAGCCAGAGCAGGGGGTCTTTGGAGAGTCACTACACGTCCGACACAAGTTCTATCTATTCTGCTATGGCATTTTGTCTTGGTAACTTTTAATCAAAGATTAGGTGTGGAGCACGTGATCTGAAGGACATGTGCTAGAGCCATAGAAAATTCTGAACAGTTCAATGTACTCTGCCACAAATGAAATGGGACTTTTAACAGTGCCCTAGGAGCTGTAGCAATTATGGGCCATCTTCAAGCTTTGAAACAAAAAACGGTTTTGAAGAGGAAGGGTAAACAGCTTTTAATAGCTGTGCTCGATGTTCATAAATCATACTGTCGGTGCTGGTCCTGCTTGTTTACAAGATGATGTTCAGAAAAAAGCTGGATGTTTAAGTAGGTGCAGGTCGAATGTTGTGGCTTGCTCTGGCACTTAGCTCAGCCAAGACTGCTTTTAAGCCCAACAGCTGGTTCTTTATGCTACAGGAATCAGCAGGGAGTGCACATGGCTCTGCATTAATGTTTAGTTAAAACAAACTTCTGAAATGCCTTTGAGCTGTTGTTTCTCAGGGAAATGTCACTGTCAGTTTATGCTATTCACACGCCCAGGATTGTGGTTTGAAAAACCCTTTTTGAGAGTTTGGGTCTGGCAGGTTGTCTGTTGTAGGCCCTGAATTCTGTTGTCAATTCTATGACAGTGAAACCCGTGAGCACAGCTCTTGGGTTCCTCTTTACCGTCCTCATAAAACAAGGAGTAAGGCTGTTGATATTGCGTGGTAGCCTTTTTGGCACTGATAAGAAAGAGTATGCGTTACCCAGTTTATATTGACCTGGGGATGTTACCGACTGCTTTCTAACCCAGTAGTTCAATAAGACTAAAATATGTGGAACATTTGTACAAACTACTGAGGGCAGATTCTTTAAGAGAACAAATGTAACGTATGTTTTTTTAAGACCTCAGACAACTGTCTGAGAAGAGCTATGAGAAACCTGCCTCCCACAGTCTGGTTGCGTAATGACTTTTCACTATTCAGCGTCAGAGATGCTAGCTCATCTAAAACTGAAGCGTCTTTTCTAAGAGACCCATCTGAAGCCTCTCTGCTTTGAAAACTTTGGCGTGAGCTTGGTTTTGAACACAGGTGAAAACAGGTGAAATTAACAGGTTGATTTATTTGATGCTGTTCTCATCATTTTAGGCTTCATTGATCTCAGCCTCTATGACCAAGTAAGGCTCTTAGAGAGCTGCTGGATGGAAGTTTTAATGGTTGGTCTGATGTGGAGGTCAATTGATCACCCTGGAAAGCTAATTTTTGCACCAGACCTTGTTCTAGACAGGTAAGAGAAACATACTTTCCTAGAGCACTTCATATCCGCCTGTTTGGAGGGGGATAAACGGCGGGAGAAAGAGAAATAAGTATTGGAGATGCTACTGATGTTTAACAATAGCATGTAATAATAATGTCATTGAGGTTCCGCGTGCTTCCAAGTGCTTAAGGATGCTAAGCATAAACAGTATCGTTGAATAACATCAACTTGTGAGTTCCTTAATTTCTCTGGTACGTCACAGTGTTGAGTGCCCCTGTATTTTTACCTGACCTTGTTGCTGTTGTTGTTCCTTTTGATCCACGTCTCTAGATGCCAAAACTCTAGACACCTCGTTACAATGTGCTACGTTGTCCTTCAGTTTTTTTCAAATTTTCTCCTCCTTGCTCTCAAAAAAAAATTAGACTTAGTATCAGGCCATATTTGAATTAGGATCCACTTAATTATCATTTCTCCCTGTTTTTCTTGCTGCCCCAGCAACAGTAGTGTCACTTCACAGATAGCTATGATTATGAGCTCTTCAGTGTTAGCCAAAAGGAATTAAAAAGAAAAGTTTGTTGTGCAAATACTTGTAATTCTGAAAGTTTTTTCAGTAGAGATAAAGCAGCCTGTTTGCAAATTTAAAAATTATTTCTCCATAGCATCATGTACCACGGGGTAGAACGGAGATTAATATGGATGTTTTTCTACAGGGCCTTAGGAGGATTTGATCGGGGCTTCACACTGGTAAAAGTCAGAGTAACGATCTACTCTCTTGGCTAGTTTTAAAATGTTTTTTAACCTTTTCAACCTGGGGAAATTCAACTCTGTACCAGTGCAGTGGTTTGAGCTAAATAATAAACATCATGGTATATATAGAAGGCAAAATCGGTTAGTAAGGGAAATAAATTTAATTTACAGAAGATTTGAAATAAATTGTGATTTGCTCGCATAAAATGCAATAGAAGGACATAGTGGGTTGTTCGATGCAGTGATAAGAAATTGCTGAAAATGTAGGATACATTTGGTTCCTGCAGGAGCTAATACGTGCTGAATAGAGTGAGCTTATTTGTTGCATTCCTTCATCTCCACACGACAGCAAAGGGGAACGAGCAAGCATCTGGGCATTCGGTCTTTTTTTCTTTTTAAGACATGCTCATATGAAACTGATCTGTAATCTGATTATTTTTATCTTAGCTCAACTTCAGATTCATTCCCTACGAGATCTTTGTAAACCAGTACTTCTCTAAACGCTCATGCCTGTCCTGAAGCTGGCAGTGGGCTCTCCTCTTCCAAACCTCAAAATTCACCCTGCCATGAAGCGCACAGGAAACAGGGCAATATTTGGGTAGCTGCCTTGCTGTAAGGAGCACGTGCTGCGCCTGGCTAGCGTGGGCCGCCTGTGCCTGCTTCACAGCCTGAGGGCTCAGCACCTCTTCTGGGGATCCAGGAGAGGAGCTGAGGTCTCCACTCCTCCTGCGCTGCTGTCATTGAGTTTGCCTCATCTTAAAAACTTTATGGAGAAAAATCTCATATTACAGCCACTGTAAGAAGCATCCCTTTGGATGCTGCGTGGTTGAGTTTAACTGCGTTTCAAGCCTAGTACGTTAAAAAAAAAAAAAAAAAAAGGAACGTAGCTTCAGTGTTTTCAAATTTGCTGTTGTTTAATTTTAGACCCAGTGGGACGTCTTAAGGTTTTTTCCCTCTTTTTTTAGATCAGGCACAGTGAGCGTGTTCTGAAAAGGGGGCCATTTCTAGTATCCAAAATGAGGAAAGTTCCACTCAGAATCACCTGCAAACATAAAAAATACATATCAATTTAGATTTAAATGCCTACAAAGAAAAAGTGTTTTGCGGGTAGGTGTCTCATTGTTTCCGAACGCTTATTTTGGAGGGTCGTTCTTATTCATCAAGTCCTTAGGCCTCTGTCAAGTACAAATGGTGATGTGGTAGCATTAATTCCCTGTGATACAAATCTGGAAAATGATTGAAGATGGTACTGTGCTGTGCGCTGTACTACATAGTTTCAGACTAACTATCCAGAATTTTCCTGGCGGTGAGGTTAAAGCGTCTTGCAGAAATACGGTCATACTTCCCTGTGGTCCAGCCTGTAAGCACTTTAAACCCCTTTAAAAGGAAAATCAGTTTCTCGGAGGTGCTGACCTTTTAGAATAGTGTAATTTTCAATTTAGATTTCATGATGTAACCTTTTGAATGCTCCCAGAGATGAGATGGATAGGTCTTTTTTCTTTACGCTGTGACTTTTATCTGGCTGAGTCAGAGATCCTTAATTTTACATTTTTGGTAACATTTTAAATGTGTTTCCATAGGGACGAGGGGAAGTGCGTAGAGGGAATTTTGGAAATCTTTGATATGCTCCTGGCCATGACCTCGCGGTTCCGAGAGCTGAAATTGCAGCACAAGGAGTATCTGTGTGTCAAGGCAATGATCCTCCTCAATTCCAGTGAGTACGCAGTTGCTCTGACACTTACCAAATTGTACTTGATATTTAGAGGGTGGCTGGGAAATCAGTCTCTAAAAGTGGCAGAAATATCAAGTGAGATAAAGTCATTAGAAGAGAACAATAGGAAGAGGCTTCTAACCTTCAGGTTTAGTGATTTTTGCTCAAGAGATGTCTAAGCTGTGGTGTTTGCTAGATTTAGGGTCTATACCCTGTTGTAAGGACCCAGCAGTCTGAGAACTTCTCACAGGGTGGGAATCGTGGCCCAGAGCAAGCTGTGATTATGTCCTTATTGAATGTTGGTCCCTTGTGATCAATGAGAAATTTTGCTCCTATCTTTCTGGTCACGTGTGATGTTTCTACACAGCTCTTCAGGACAACCCATAATTCTTAATTCTAGCAAAGCAAGGTATTCTACTGAGCAATGATTAATTGTGCTTAAAATATTCCTATTTAATTGTAATTAATTTGTAGAAATGATAAAAAGTACTCAACTACTCTGCAAGATGAATTTGAGAACAGGAGCTTTGCTTTGCAACCTCTTATACACTCCTATTTGCTGTGTGTGTTTGCCTGGTTTTGGACAGTCTACAGTAAAATCATTTTATTCCCCAGAACATTTTTGTAAAGTTGTCAAAAGTAAAAAAAAAAAAAGAAAAACAAAATAACATCTGTATATACAAAGATGGTAACTATTTACATCTACTGTTTTCCACAAGAAGCCTCAGCATAATTCTCAGCCCAGTTCTGAAGAGGAATAGTCCAGCTGTTATCCCACTTGTTTGTAGACAGATACCATCATTTCAACAGACAACAAAGCTGTTCTTTTTTCTTTAAAAAAAAAAACAACAAGGTTTCCATCCATGTTTTTTTCAAAGCCTTGCCTCTCAAAAAAGCTCTAGCTTTCCCTCCTCCTCCTGCTCTCCTTCCTTGTCAAAGTTAATCTTTTAATCCTAATTTCCAAGGTGTTTTGCAGCTCTGTCCGTCCTTAGGTATCTTGGGGTTTGCTGTGTTTGTTTGTTTGTTTGGCCCAGGTCTCTTCTCAGGTGAGCAGTAGGGAGACCGTGGCAGATTGGGTCAACGAGCCATGTCTCCCACCACGTTCTTCCTCCCTCCCTAGGGTGTAGGGGAAAGAAACCTTCTCTTTCAGAGAAGAAAGGGTTTTTTCCCAGCAAGAGGGGATTAGAGCAAGCATTATACTATAGTTCATAGTAGTTACTAAACCACATGAAAGGAAAATCCACTGGGAAATGGAGAATACATCTGCTTCCCCACAGACTCCCAGAGCGTAGCCCTCGCTCAGATTGAGGAGTCTGGCTGAGTCTGGCTATGTTCAAAATGTTATCTGTCTGAGGGAGATCTGGGACAGTTAAGTATGCAAATGATGTGGCCATCAATTTCAGGCAAAGATGGAGTAAGATGGAGTAAGAAAGATGGAGTAAGATGGAGTTTGGAGGAGTACGTGGAGCAAGTATTCCAGTGTTTTCTTTCCTCTATCAAGGTATGTTTCCACTGTCAGCAGAAGAACCTGAAAGCAACAGGAAGCTGCACCACCTGCTTAATGTAGTGACAGATGCTTTAGTGTGGGTAATCGCGAAGAGTGGGATCCCCTCGCAGCAGCAGACGACTCGTCTGGCCAATTTGTTGATGCTACTCTCCCACGTCAGACACGCAAGGTAAATTTTGCAGAATGCATACAACTTCTAAGGTTTTAATGTTTACTACAACAACAAAGAAAGGCTTGAACTCTGGAGCTCTCCTGAGGGAATCTGGGTACTGCTCTTTATATCTGCTCATTAAGACTATCCTTCCTTGCAATATAGGCAAGTACTGGCTGGCACTCAGAATACCGTGTTGATATTAAAATGCTATCTTAACTGTATTACATTAAATGATTCCTTTATAATAACACAAAGTCAGCCCTTAAAAAAAATAGCCCAACAACCAAAACTCTTCTATCTGATAGAGAGTTGTTTCCTTCAAAACTGATCTGCAGTATGGAGTTTAGAGGAGGAAAATGTACTCTGGGTACCAGGCCAAATTTGTTGTGTGTCCCAGGAGCAACTCTTAGTTCTTCTATTCAGAACCACATCACTTCTTGCTGAATGACTCGTGTGGTATAGCCATACCATGCTCCTTTCCCTGTGGGAAGCAGCTCTTCTGCTCCCTATCAGCTCCTGGACCTCCTTGAATCCTCATCTTTGTGGAGCGTACTGCAGACTCTCACACAAGGCCTCACATATTGAGCAGGGCCGTGCAAACAGATGCTTGACTTGTACAGTTGTCGTCTTTAATTGTTTCCCAGAGACTCACTGTTCGCAAAGCTCTCTTACATCTTGGACGTGGAGTGTGTGTCCAAGGAAGTCTTTGTGAGAGTCCTGGGGCTGGGTTGCAGTGTGCAAAAGAGAGATGGGCATATCTGACTTTGCATGGGGTCAGCAGTAGAGGGACCCTCCGAGGTGGGCTTCCTGGAGAAAGGAGGATGGCAGCAGCAGAGCACAGACTGTGCCCAAGGCAGCTTTTTGCACCGGCTTTAGGGATTAGTGGCAAATTTGAGAGCTGGCCCTACAGAAGCTCTCAGTACCAGTCCTAGCTGAACCTGCTTCGCAGCTCTGAGGCACTGCTGTGATCCGAGTGTTCACACTGTGGTGGGACACTGCCTCGCAGTGTCACAGGAGCTCTTGTTCCAGCATGGCACAAACAAAGGTAGCGCATCCTTGCACAATTTGTAGTCTCTCTTATTAAAACGTAAATTCTTATGCTGTGCATGCCTCAGCCAAAGTCTAGAGACTGTTTGTCGCAGTCTGTCTCCTTTACGTTGGTTAGCGCTAGTCAGCCCGTTACACTCCGTTTTGGAAATAGCTGGTGTTCTCCGCCTTGATTACCAAATAACACAGGACCCTCAAGAGCTGGGTGCAGGGAGTCCTTTCCTTCTTTTTTGCCATTAACAGGTTTGTAACTTGAATTGCAGCAGATCCTCTTTTTTTTTTTTTGGAAACCTTGCTCCCCTCCCAATGCAGTCCACCAGGCCAGCCAAGCATTGGCTGGCTGCCAGTCCTTCCGCTGGGATAATGTCCGTGTCGAGTGAGCGCTCTTCATTTTCAGCTCCCAAACCTCGACTGTCTCTGAAGTACATACCTGTGCAACTGTTACATTTTAGTAATAACTAACTACTCTTAATCCAAACAGTGACACAGCCACCGAGTGTTCAATCTAACAAGGTGTGTTACTGTATGACAAAAAATGACTTTTAAAGCCTGTAAGCTGTCTGAGGGATCTAATACTGGGCAGGCTGGAGAGGGAATAAACTGCTAGAAGTTGGCCAGTTTATTTTGGTGTCTGTACCCATCCAGTCAGGAAAGGTAGATAGTCGCTGCAGCTGCATATTGTAAATAAGCCTTTCATATGAAAGGTGCACAGCGTGGACCTCCCCTATTTACAGTATCAAAGAGGTTTTCTCTTTGACTTCAATAGGGCCAGCGCATGTGAATCACTTTCTAAAGTCAGCTTGCATGGCGTAAAATGAACCTTGGTTCCCTGGATAGTAAAACACTTGGCCTCAAAGAATTTGGATGCTGCTACTGTTGATAGTGTTGAGTGACCCCAGGGACTACAGCAGCTGAACCCTCTTAACTCCTAATAAAAAGAGGACTCTCTTGAAGCCATGAGTGCGTTGTCCCTCCCTGCACTGTCAGACTCGGACCGCTGACCTGTTTTCTGTTCTCATTCACAGTAACAAGGGAATGGAGCATCTCCTGAGCATGAAGTGTAAAAATGTGGTCCCAGTCTATGACTTACTGCTGGAGATGTTGAATGCCCACACTCTCCGAGGGCAAAGGAAGTCCCCAGTCACAAATCCCGAATTTGGCCCATTAGAACAAATGGAGACTGGAGACGGCCTGTGAAACGGGGCAGTCCAGTAATTCCGTCGAGACCTGGAGTTAAAAATGTGAAGCTTATTCAAAGTTATGGGAGAAAACAAAGCTACTGTGGTGGGACTGTTGACGATCAGGTGACCTAGTGTAAGTCCTCATCTCTTTTAGATTTGCACGTGGGTTTCTTGGGAAAGGCTTGTGAGACGCACAACTCTGGCCACGTTTCTGACATTATAAAAGCTGCACTTTTATAGTGCCTTTTCTGAGACTCTCAAAAAGCACCTTATGAAATTAAGCCTCAGAACACTACTGTGAGAGAGGGAATTACTGCCTCTCCTTTTTAAAGGTGGGGGAAATGAGATGAAGAGATAAAGTGACAGAAGTCGTCTGTGTCAGGGCTAGGAGTCAGGACCTAGGTCCCTTTCTCCCAGACCAAAGCTTTTAAGCACTGCCTAGACTATATCCTCTTTTAGTATGAGGTTGTATGAAATGTACGGCTGCATCGCTTGGGAGAGATTTGCTTACCTGTGTGTGCTGGTCACTGGGGAGTATCTGCTTTGCAGTTGGTCTGGATAAAGTGCCGAGATACATATACTGTGTAAAGGAGTTTCCTCTCTTCATAAATATGCAATGCCTGCAAGGGGGACACTTCATTTGAAGGCCTTTCAGAGTAGCTTCTAGGACCAATTTTGAGTCTCTTCAGAAATGTAAAACCAAGCTTAAATTTATATTTTGTGAGTCTGTTCTGAACACTCGTGTTGTTAGCTGTGTATAATTCTTCAGTGCTTTAAATGACGACCAAGCTGCCTAGGTATTTTGGTCAATGCTAACCTTTGGAATGTGTTTGTCTGTGAGATTGTTGTTTTATATATTTATTGATGATGTTAAAACTATTATAGTGTTTAGGTACAACAGGTTGCTATGTGAACGTTAACTGTTGGCGTTTGTGTATGATCTGCTAATCAGGGCTTGTGAAATGAGCTAGAAAACAAGCCATCCTCGCTCCCCTTTGGGCTAGCGTGTGGAGTTGTTGTGCCCCTCCGAGACCTCTCGCAGCCGTCTTGCATGGGACGCCGAAGGGGACCGGGAGCTAAGCTGTGACCTGCTTTTGCCTGCTTCCTGCAGGTTTGCTGCTTGCTCGTTTTCAAAGCGCATCACACCCTTTGCTGTGCTTTTCATATCTTGGATACAATCCCCCAAAGACGTGAGGGGGATGACAGTTCCGGGACTTCTTTGCTTCTCAAGTGTGATGACTTGTTTGAATTTCACTTACGTTGTAAGTCTAAACCCTCCTGCTGTGCTGATTTCTGTATGTGTTTAAGATGCGCTGAGCCAAAAAAGGAGAAGTAGCCTGGCCTAATAACCTCAGTGAAAAGCAGGATGGCATCTTTTGTCCTGACAGCTGTCAATATTGCATTTTGCTGGGAGCAAGAATTGCAATCACTGTAAATGGATATTTCTAAATATGATTATCGTGCATGTTCTAGGCCTTTCATATATGGTGAAATTAAATTGGGATCACACCTAAAGTCTATTTTGAGCCAAAAAAGTCTTTTGGATTAGGGACTTTGATGAGTATGCCATTTGCATACTTTGAATATTAATCAGACCTTTGATGTTGGTGTTTTTTGAAGCCAAGGACAATGTTTTTTATAGGAGGGTCATAAAGAGTTTTCAGCGAGTTATACAGCTCTATAGTCCTGTTTTGATCTTGTAATATACCAGATGCTGATGATGGTCTAAATTTTTACTAGCTACCTTTTTATTGTTTTTAATAAAATGTAATATAGCAGCGCCCTTCTGAATGAATGTAATATTTACTACTACAAATTGAAAGAAAAAAATGTAAGTACTGTCTTGAATTCATCGTTACGTGCTCATTTTGAGTGAAGCTCTGCTGCGAAGTGGATGCGTTTCAGTGTTTCTTGGGCTTGATCACCTTTTGGCCTGAACGCCTGTTGTATTGTTCTTTCTCTGATTCTTCTTATCTTGTATAATCTTTTTTTTAATACAGTTTTTCAAAGAAATGTTTAAGCGATTTTTTTTTTATTTTGCTTTAAAAGTGCTGAATTTTTCAGCAA